ATATATATATTACACCAAAATAATTTAGGGGGGCTTTAAAATATTTTAGGGGGGCTCCAGCCCCCCTAAAATAGGCCTAGTGACACCACTGCTAGTAATGTTTGGGTTTAGGGTAAAGATCAGGGTTAGGCTACATAAATAAATGGAAATCAAAACAACGTCCAAATAAGATCAGTGTTTGCTTGTGTTTGTGCGCATACAAACTTGTCTGTATTTTAGCTAAATAAAAAATGAAATAAAAAGTCAGCCATTGAAAATACAGTTAATCCAATGATTACATTGTGATTGATATTTTTATTAAAATACAGTATTGTCAATAATTAATTATCTTTTGGAGTCAATTTTATTCAAGATGTATGCTAGAAGCAAATACAAAAAGGGCTATAACTTGATCAAGTTTGCAAATACTGAGTTAAATATGCAGTGAGGTAGTAGATTAGAGTTATCTTGAACTCACACTTAAAGTGTCGCTCATTGCACAAGATCTTTAAACCTACTGATTTATTAGCAAATCATCTCACAAACCACTTGACAGATTTTATTGAAACTCTCATAAAAATTATTTGGATCTTTTTTTTAGTCAGTTCAGTACATTTGGCAAGCTGTCATGAAAACTCCACTAAAGCCAGTGATAAAAGATAAACTATTAAACTGTTTCACATTCAACGCAGGGCTGCAACTAACGATTATTTTAATAATCGATTAATCTGTTGATTATTTTTTCGATTAATCGATCTATCGGCCAAATCATAAAAATGCTTAATTAAATGAATATGAGTAGATATAAATTAAKTTAACTCCTTAAGGATGCAAATTATTGATAATGAATTAATCTGAAGTTGATTTATCTTATAGATTAATTAACGATTAATTAATAAGAAGCCATCTTTTTTTAAAAACGGAGTTTTCTCTTGAATCAAGAGGGTCTTCCCATAAAATGAAGGATTTTTTTATAACCTCCTGAATTAAAAAACAGAAGCACATAATACATATTTTAACAATTTATTTTTCCAGCTGTATTAAATACCAACTGAAAAACTGTGTATTTCTCCTACATGAAACATAACAGAAATGTAATAGGTTGCTGAATGAGGAAAATAGATTAAAATAATAAAATATGATTTTTAGATGTAAAATTATTATTAATATATTATAA